TCCTTGACGCTTTCTCTCGTTGTGAAAGATGTGGAAGCTGGTCTGGTCACGCGTCCGTCCTGGCCAAGGTGGTGAGAACGAGGCCAGGCGCCACTGGCTTCACTGTGTGATTGGCACCGTGTTGCGATGCAAGTAGTGCACTGCGACTGAAGCGCCGCTAGTTCATGGTTGCATCGGTGCTGTGCTGTATGCGCCTTGGGGATGATGTTGCTTCCATTAACGACCACATCGAGGAGCCGTTCGCAGCGGATGTTCCACCAGGCTCCCCGATGGCTCTGAACACTATGCGTTTCATGGTTTGGTTGATTCGCGACCAACGTGCTCCTGCGTGACCTCAACCTTGTTGTCCAGCGGCAGGACGAGCAGCGCATCGAGGTCATTGCCAACGGTCTTCCTGTTTGGAGCGGTGCCCAGCTCGCAATTGACACGATGCTTGTGTCTGCCTTGGACTCGGAAGGGCAAACCCGCCGCCACCAGCGCTCCACTGCCGGTGCCGCCCTACGCATCGCCGGACATACCCCGAACTACTCCGTTCGGCACGGTGCCGGCTCGTTGTGCTCGGAATTAAGTTGGGTGGCCGCTGGAGCACTGCAGCTGCGCAGTTCATCCGATTCCTTGCCCGCAGCCGCGCGCGAGCAGGCCCACAGCTCCTGCGCTCGAGTGCCACCGCCGCGTAAGTCATACGCTGGTCTGCTTTGCTTTCTTTCGCAGCCGCCCGTGCTCTCGCAGCGAGTCTCCTTTCCCTCCCCCTCGCGCACTCTGCCAACGTTGACGGGGACCCCTTTGGAGTTGAGTGACCTTCGAAATTCGGTGCTGCGCACGAGCCACTTCCCCCATCTCTCCCCAGCCGCCTGCTTCCGGGCGGTTGAGTGGTCCTGGACTTCGTGGACTTTTCGGCTGGACTTCACGCCGTAGTTTGTGCATTGGGACCGCCTACAGGTCTTCTTCGAGAAAAGGTGCGTTGTAAAAAAAAACCTTCCTGCACGGTTTACGATACTGCCAGTGCTTCCACATTGGGGGCGAACCTGGTTGGGCAGTATCCCATCTGTGTGAACGACAACTTGTGCGTTCGAGATGCGGAATCTCGTCCTGGTGCGAGACCTGAACCTCCAGGCACACAGGCATGATGAGCTCCGCATCGAAATGGTCGCCACTGGCCTGCCGTCGTGGGGAGGCTCGCAACTTGCCGTTGGCACTACACCTGGTCTCGCCACTTACTTCTGCGGGTGTGCCCCGGCGCCTGAGAGTCAGCACCGCTGGAGCAGCGTTGGCCGAAGCACGCCGGGCCACAGAGCGCATCTACATGTACCTACCCTGAGTTCGACGACGCCCGTCGGTGCTACCTGGTTGTCCTCGGTCTTGAAGTCGGTGGTCGCTGGAGTGCTGAAGTTACCACCTTCATCCGCTTGCTGGCGCGGGCGCGGGCACGCAGTGCCGCCGCGACCCAGCGCGCTGCGTGTGTTGCCGCCTATGTCACCCGGTGGCCTGGGCTTCTCTCCATAGCTGGCGCGCGCTCCTTTGCTGCCAGCTTGCTGTCCCTTCCCATCTCCGGCACCGCCAACCTTGATGGCGAGGCTCCTCTCCTGAGTGACGTCCTTGCTGACTCGTCCGAAACACCTCCGCTCACCTCCCGCATGGGATGGGTTTGCTTGCGTGCTCGGGATGGTTCGTGGTGTGGTTGGTTCCGGTAGTCTGCTGCACTGGGACCACTCCCGGATGCACCAGTCACGTGGGCGGGCGCCGCACAGCCGCATGCCGATCGAGTCCCAGGCACGGTGCTTGAGCAGGCGGCGAAACGCAAACGCCACCGCACTCACCCGGAGCTTGCAGTCGCCCGCCGTTGAAAGCTGGTTGTGCTTGGCTTTGAAGCTGGGGGACAGGTTCAGCCGAGAGGCCGTTGCCTTCCTGCGGCAATGGCCAAGGCTCGGCCAACGCCCGCAGCTGCTCTGTGGTGCTTTATTTCATGTTGCGAATAGGACCCTCACGTTCCACAATCCCCTGCCCATTCCCTGTCTGAAATGAGGGTACCTGGGTTCGTCTGAAATGGTTGCTTTAGTTAAAACCCCGAACAAGAACCTGCAACCCGTCAATTTAGACAAGTTCTGATGGATCTGACCTGAGCCCCCTCATTTCAGACAGCCCATGGCGAACCTGGGGCCCCCCATTTCAGATGGCCGCGGAACCTGCTTGAACCTGGGTCCCCCAAAATAGGGTCTGAAATGGGGGGGCCCAGGTCAGTCAAGGTTCGTAGTTTCACTTCAAGATGCCGCCCTGCCCACTGCAGACCCAAGGCCACTGCAGTTTGCCCCGCGCCCACCACCACCCCCGCAAGCCGTCGCCGATTTGGCCCACATGCCCCCGCCCTTCGCAGTATAGCTTGTAATTTCCCGACATGGAACACGCGATGACACCGCCTGCGAAAGGCTTGAAAAGAGCGACGAGATCACCATTGCATGAAATGGATGGAATAGATCGAGATGATGATGGTCATGACGAAACGAGTCGAGGTGCAAATGTCGCTCAGATGGCTAACATCGTACGCAATGAGATCCAGAGAGCCTT